TGGAGGAGGAGGTGGCATATCGGGACGCACCAAAGAACGGGAAGACGAAGGAGTGGTTGAAGCGGTAGATGATGATGAAGATGTGGTGGATGGCATAGCGGTTCGAGTGACATGTCGTGGTCGTGATGGTGGCGGAGGCATGTTGGTGTTGACCAGAGGACGAGAGGAGGTGGTAGTAGCGGTATTAGGTGTTGTTGCGGAACTTGAGGATGGTGTGAGGGCTGCTTGGCGGATTCGTTGGATGCGGGATTGAATGAGGGCCATGGTAGGATTAAGGACAGGACTAAGAGGAGGAGAGGTAACAATGCCGGTAGTTGAAGGAGTGGTGGAAGCAGCGATATCGGTGGTGGTAGTAATGACAGGAATGGGGTCAGGCATAAGGTTGGGCATAGTTGTAGTAGTTGTAGTGGCGGTATTAGTGGTGGTTGAGGTGGCAGCGGTAGTGGTGATGGTTGTATCAACCTCCATAGGGATGGGCGTAGGTGATGGTGGAGGTGATTGAGGTGGTGTTGCGGGCTGAGATGGAATGATTGGGGAAGGCATATCTAAGTAACAGCCATACATTAGTTGAATGTTGTTATATAAAAGATATTCACGTTTCACACTTACCGGTCATAATGGGGTCATCGAGGTCATTAAAGAAAGGAGAGGAATCCAAACGAGTGGACATTACTGAGAGCAGATCATCCTCTAAAAAACATTATCCCATGTGAGTATGTATCCAATTCAGCATGACAATTCATATGCTTGTAGGCATCACTTACCGATTTCCATGTCATCACGAGGTTCCACATACGGGCGGTCAATAGGGGGTGCCATGTATGTGTCCTCATCAAAAGGATCATCAATGGTCATGTATCGAAAGAGTAAGGCTATGTAGGAGTCATTATTAGCAACTCATGTAATTGAGGAAGTAAATGACTACATTTATACTTACAGAGTTGACCAAGCTCATCCTCATCGTCATCATCAAAACCAAAAGCGTCATTGCCAACAGCTGGCACAGCAGGAACATCTTCACCAATAGCAACACCACCAACAGCAAGAACAGCGGGGACATCTTCAGCAACAGCAACACCACGAACAACATCGTCATCACCAACAGCAGGAACGTCTTCTCCAACAGCAAAGTCTTCTCCAACGGCTTCATGATGATGATGATGATGATGATGATGATGATGATGATGATGATGACGGTGACGATGGTAAGAAGCTTGATTTAATAACCACTTTTTGTTTTGCAAGCATTTCGTGACCCCGTATATTCCACGTACCGATACCTGTGTTCATTCAAAGTATTGGAAGGCGTGTGCCGTAGGCCGTTGATGAAACAGATGATGTGCATTGACCTGCCAAGCTTCCTTACGAATATCGGGTCCGTGGTTAACCTTCCATAAAATGCGAAATCGTCATGTTCACGAACCATAAAGACCACCAATGGATACACGAAAAACGTATGTATTAGTACTTATAGCACCACTTGCAAATGTATTCAAAGACATACCGTAAAGGGACCAAAGGAAACTGCCACGCAAGATGATCCGATACAAGAATGCAATCGCTTGCTGTAACGTCTTGTGGCACCTTTGACGAAGATCGAGCCGATGACTAATGTGCCTTGCTTTGTATCGATCCACATGTTAATGTCATGCTTGTTGCCATGTACCATATCCATGTTGCCAGGCACCAGGTAAAATTCAATCCAATGACCACGGTTGTTGAGGATCCTGTTTTCACCCATTAGTCTTCATCCT